CATTCCCGGGATACCAAACCATGGCTGGGATATGGAATCATTCCCAGATACCAAACCATGGCTGGGATATGGAATCATTCCCAGATACCAAACCATGGCTGGGATATGGAATCATTCCCAGATACCAAACCATGGCTGGGATATGGAATCATTCCCAGATACCAAACCATGGCTGGGATATGGAATCATTCCCAGATACCAAACCATGGCTGGGATATGGAATCATTCCCAGATACCAAACCATGGCTGGGATATGGAATCATTCCCAGATACCAAACCATGGCTGGGATATGGAATCATTCCCAGATACCAAACCATGGCTGGGATATGGAATCATTCCCAGATACCAAACCATGGCTGGGATATGGAATCATTCCCAGATACCAAACCATGACTGGGATATGGAATCATTCCCGGGATACCAAACCATGGCTGGGATATGGAATCATTCCCGGGATATCAAACGGTTGGGAATGTGTATCCAGCTGCTCCGACCCCCTGGCATTGCCCTTTTCCATGATTTCCTGGTCCTTCCTCAGGGATTAGGGAATCCCCACCCCTGACCCCCAAATAAGGCGTTTTTTGCCCCAAACGGGGTTTTCCACCCCCAGATCGGGAATTTCATCCCAAAATCCAGGGGTTTTGTTGCCTTTTATGGGATCTGCAGTCAGGAATTCCAGGAGCCCCAGGCCTTCCTCTTCCCTCTGCCACGGAACGCCTTAGTTGATAATTTTTGGGATTTCCCAGTTTTGGGAGCAGGGATGGGAAATGGGATATCGGCAGTGATGGGGGTCAAAGAAGGATGGGGATTTCTGGGAATTTCTGGGGATTTATGGGAATTTCTGTGAATTTCCGGGAATTTCCGGGAATTTCTGGGGATTTCTGGGGGTCCAAGGCTATCGAAGAGGGATGGGGATTTCTGGGAATTTCTGGAGATTTCTGGGGATTTCCAGGAATTTCTGGGGACTTCTGGGGGTCCAAGGCTATCGAAGAGGGATGGGGATTTATGGGGGCTGGGGGCTTGGGGGGGCTCAACAAACCCCAAAAATTCCGGCTCCTCTCTTCCCAGGCGAGCGCGGCCCCAAGGGGGACAAGGGGGACAAGGGGGACCGAGGAGCCGCCGGCGGCAGCGGTGAGTTCCTGGGGGAGATTTTTTGGGAATTGGGAGCCCGGGCTGGGAAGATTCCTGATGCGAAGAGGAATTCCTGAGGCTGGGAAAACCATCCCGGGGTTCTCCTGCCTGGGCGAGGAGGAGCCGCAGCCGGGGAAGGTGGGAGGGGATGGGAAAGGACCGGGAATGCCGGAGGGAGGAGGTCGGGAATGCCGGAAGTGTCCTCCAGGTGTGGGACGCCCTGCCTGCCGCCCCAGGGACATCCCAGCCTGGGGACATCCCCATGGCTGTCCCCGTGCCCCTGTCCCCGTGCCTGATGGCGCTGTCCCCATGGATTTGTTCCCCGTGCCCCTGTCCCCGTGTCTGGCAGTGCTGTCCCCATGGATTACATCCCCATGGCTGTCCCCTTGTCTGACGGCGCTGTCCCCATGGATTACATCCCTGTGCCCGCCGTCCCCGTGTCTGACGGCGCTGTCCCCATGGCTGTCCCCGAGCCCGCTGTCCCCATGGCTGACGGCACTGTCCCCATGGATTACATCCCCATGG